GGGGGACAATTGCAGGAGAAATTTTGACATGGTGGTTTGTTTGTCCCTATAGGATTAGTGAGGATAGTAGTTGGGACATGAACAGGGTAGAGAGTAATGGAAAAATGTCACTACAATCAGGCCATCTGGGCAGAGGCCCTCTGTGGGGGAAATGTTAGGGTGACAGTCTTATAGGTATGTTCTGGTATACCTGATTGGCGGATGAGGTCTGCCTTGGGTGTATGGGGATGCTCTGAGAACAACCGAAGGGCTGGGACAGACATTGCAAGGCCTGAGAGCATCACATCAGGGGCAAAACTACCCGCAAGTAACTGCGGAGGCAGCCTGGGTGCCGCTTTCTCAAATAAGGTCAATGCAGGTGTCAGGAGGGAACTGGAGCCAGAAACGGATATACGGTCAGACTCTCAACTCCTGGCCTCTGACTTTGCAGGTAAATTGGATGAGAGCAGAGGGAAAATGGAGGTATTTGCCTGCTGCCTCTTTCAGCTGGGGGCCAATGGCGGAAGACGGCCCAAATTATAGAACCTCTCTTGGAATAGCAAAACCTGTGGGCAGAGTCGGGTAGCTGAGGAAGAGAGTTACCTAGAAGTAACAGAAGGCTCTCCTCCTCCGTCATACCTACCTTTCATCAGGAGAAAGAGAAAGCATAAGGTCCAGTATGCTGACAGAGGTCTAGCAGTGGTCTGGAGCCAGGGACTACAGTAATCAGAACATCCAATGCCAGGAGCTGCTGGCTCTGGGGAAGACTTCCAAACAAGCAGTGGAGGAGCCCCTCGCCCCGCCGTGCGACGCTGTGGGACATGCGGGCTGAGAGGGTCAGTTTGAAAGCTGAGAGATATAACCCAACTGTCCCTTCCTGAGGAAAAGGCTTCACAATCTAAGGCAACCAGTCCCGCATACAAGGCTCATACAAGCCTTTGGACGAGTGCTTATCTTAGCTGAGGTCCTCATGAATATCAGAGGCAGGAACCAATAGAAAAAGGGCAGGCACTACTAAAAGAACTAAGTATTGGGAAGTGGTGTTTGATGGCCAGGTCACAAGCCTGGTCAAGACTGTATTTATGGGAGACTAAGAAAGAAATTAAACCAGGACCGTGAGAACGGTGTAAGACATGGGTCTCAGTAGAATTTACCGGGATCTGCATGAAGTGGGTCAATATAACCATTTCGGATCCGCATGCAAAAATATAAAATGTTCACGAGGTGCTAAGGCCATAGGAGCAAGTTGAGAGGAGAGGAAGCCAGGCAAAGTGTGCCTTCACATTTTCCAAATACAGACGTAGCTGGACTTGCACCTAGCCAGAATCCTTAGCCACAAAAAACTGGTGGGTAACAGAACACCATGTTGGTTAGCTTATGGAGGGCTCTAAGGCCAGGTCAGCGATTCGTTCCAAGAGTAAAGGGGACAGGTGATCAAAAAGTGCAGGCAGTCCCTATTCTCCCCCTGTTGTCTGAGGTTTCTGTTCCACCCAGTGCTGCAGAAATGCAGGCCCAAATAAACACACAGAGGCCTATATTAACTATAAAACTGGTTGGCCTAGTAGCTCAGGCTTCTTATTAACTATTTCTTACATCCTACATCTTAACCCATTATTCTTGTCTGTGTTAGCCTCGTGGCTTCATACCTTTCATTGGCAAGGCATTCTCATCTTGCTTCCTCTCGGTCTGGGTGACAACTGCAGACTGACCTTTCCTCTTCCCAGCATTCTCCTGTTCTCATTACCCTGCCTCTACTTCCTGCCTGGTTGTTCCACTTATACTTTCTGCCTGGCTATTGGCCAATCAGCGTTTTATTAAAAATAATACAAGCGACAGGCTGAAAGACCATTGTCCCACAGCAGGTCTCTCAAGATGAGACTCTTCCTGGCTACTCCCATGAAGAAATGGCCAAGGTCACCGGTAGTTTTAAACTTCTGTAATAACCTGACATTCCCAGGGACCAATGGACGTTAAATTGCCTCACCAAGGATTAGCTCCACCCTCCCACTCTTCGTTTTGGGGTGGCTTGGGACTTTTCATCATTGTTCTGCCCAGCCTCTGTATAAAGGTCTTCTTACATGTGGCTGGCATAAACGCTAAACTTGGAGCGTTTTCCTGAGTCGGAGACTCGGTTAAGAGACAGACAAGCCAGTGAATAAGTGGAAGAACCAAGCATGGGGACTTAGTTCACAACCAGCCCAAAAGGCCAGGCCAGGTGTTGCTGTGGCATTCTCCGCGTGGTTGGGAAAGATGCAAGTGATAGCCATCAAGGTAATTGGGGGAAGTTCACAGCAGCCTGGGCCTGCAGATGTTAAAGGCTATGTAAAAGGTAAAAGCGTGCTCCTAGAAGCCGAGAGGAGATGAGTTAGAATGCCAGCTGGTTTTTATGTCAGCTTGACACAAGCTAGAGTCATCAGAGAAGAAAGAACCACAATTGAAAATAGACCTCCCTAAGATTCAACTGTTGGACATTTTCTTAATTACTGATTGATGTGGGAGGGCCCGGTCCAGCCCAGCCCAGCCCAGCCCATTGTGGGTGGAGTTCTATAATAAAACAACAAGCTGAGCAAATCCTCGAGGGGCGGAGTTTGTAAGCACCTCCTTCCTCTGGGTTCCTGATCTGCCTGAGTTCCTGCTCCGATTTCTTTCAGGGATGACCTGTGATATGGAACTGGAAGTGAAACAAACCCTTTCCTCCCCTAGTCACATTTGGCTGTGGGGCTTCACCGCCGCAGTAGTCACGGAAGTAAGACCATTGGGAACCTCGGTGTTAGGAGTAAGTTACTTTCCTCGGCATTGCTGACCACAGAGGCCTTAGTGGTGGCTGAAACAGTAAAGGCCTTGCCACAGCTGTCATGGTAAGACTCCGTTGCTAAAGAGATTGCATGCTTTGGCTGCCAGACTTGGAGAGAAAAAGCTAGGACTGGGATCGAAATGCCTTCCTCCTAGCTAGCTCCTGTGACACCAGAAGTTGCTAAGGACCCTGGGAGAATCAAGGTCAGAGGTCCTGTTCGACTTGGGTCCTGGATACTTCACAACAAAAATGCCAGGCATTGCGTGTCAAATAGCACCATGGTGGCCCGGGTGTTTCTGAGTAGACCTAGATTTCTGGTTGGGCTTCAGGACAGCATCACGGGGGAACGTCACATCTGGTACCTGGTACAGGGAGGCAAGAGGCAAAAGTCTGTGACCAAGGAAGCCATAGGTTTCCGTGGAGAAGCGTATGTGCCACCTAAAGTCCTTCTCCACATTTGTTTATAATGGTTGTTTGTTACTGCAGTCTAAATATTTGGAAATTTTTCTGTTCCTAATTTTCATCCTTTTCCTTACTACTCTAACTTGTTAACAGCGGTGAGGTGAAGGCAAAAGGAAAGGGCCCAAGGGTTTGTTCCCTCATTGGATTTAGAGAACAAACATCTCTGTCACCGCCCTCTGGAAACCTTGTGGAAGAGGAGGGCAGAGAGAATGCAAGAGCAGGGAAAAATGGTGGGGATGTTGGATGCAGTGCAGGACTCTCCGCAATCAAACAGCCACCATCTTGAGGTGTTCATCTCCACCTGCTGGCAAACGGTCATCCCAGCTGGACTTGTTGACTTGTTACACGGCCTCCTAGAGGGTGAGGAGGGTCAGGAGAATCACCTGCGTACCCTGTCCTCTCCCTATCACGTGCTGTATGTTTCTTTGCCCTAACTGTACAAGTGCCCTGGAAAGGGGCTAGAGATAGCAGGACGGAGAAGAGATTAGCGTAAAGAGGGATACATCAATACGGTTATGGGAAAGTCATCTCTACTTGACAGTTCTGGTGTGGCTTTGGAGGAGAGCTCCCACCCTCTAGCAAGTAACCCCTCACCTATGCTCAATTAAGGAAGTCCAATAAGATTATCAGATCCCCAGGGTGAACTTTGGTGGAATCCTGCTTTGGTTTGTCCTTGAGATTTTAGATGGAGGGTTATGCCCCCCCCCCAGCATCTGCTAAGTTAATATATTACAAACATTTTGTTTAATTACTAAGATATTCATAAGTCCAGTACAGAGGTTGATAATAAATGCCTAGTAAGGGGAATAGAGAGAGTCCAGCACGATTGGGCCCTGAGTGTTCAGCATCTCGTCTCTCCACAGTTATGGAGAAGTATGCAGGGGTGTCAACACAGATATAGCTGCTTCGGGGAATTTCAGCTCACTTTGACGAGGAAGGGAAAACGCTGTGACTCAGGAGCTGACGTCTCTGGGCGATGATTTAAGTGTTTCTCAGCTCCCCTTCGCCCTTAGATCAGACAGAGCAGTAAAAGAAGCCTCAGATTGGGTCTTCTCCCTCAATCACTTCTGCCGGGTTCTGAGCAGACCCAGGAGTTGAGATTTCTCTGAAATGGCCTCTGCTGAGAGAAGACCTTGTCCAATGGCAGTGCTCCAGGGCATGTCAGCATGACTGCCACACACAACTCCCCCCCCCCCCCCCCAGAATCCAAGGAATTTTCTTGGTCCTGGTATTTACAGTGAGGATCTGGTAGCATTCCTGGAGATAAGCAGAGAAAAGCTTGGCTCCTGGGCTCCCTTGATTGGGTTCGCCGAGGTTGTCCGTCTTAACTACGATTTTTCCTTATGTCGTTGGACAATTGTATGAATGTTACAAGCAGCATTCTGGTAACTCACACCCCACCACCCTCTCCTATCTCCCTCCTACCACCAACATCAACTTCCCTCTTCCAGACAAGTCCCCTTCTCCCGTTCATGATGTTTTGTTCCGTTTTGCAACCCTCTGAGTTTATCCTGTGATCATGAGTTTGGACCTGGCCGTTGGCCCTGGGTCCCTCCCCATCCTCGCACCCAAGCCCCAGAGTATAAACAACTGGAAACAATTGCTGATTCCCCCCCCCCCCACCCACCTCTTGACTGCCCAGAATCTACCAGTAGCTTATAGTTCATCCGGGGGAGGGGGAAGAGGGGAGGGACAGGCCCTGTAAGCCTCTCCCAGCCTGTGACTAATGACAGGCCCAATTTCCTGCAGGCTGAGGAAGGTGTAGTCACTTAAAGCCACTCCTTGGTTCCCGTTACAGCTTTCTCACCCTGTGGCTGCTCTCCACGCTCCAGTAAGTTCTCAGTCTTTCTATTTGGTGTTCTCTTTCATCTGCGGATCAAAACTGGCTGCCCCTGTCCTCTGTTCCTTTGTAGATCCAAAAGGAGCTGCTGGCTTTTCAGTCTGTTCAGCTTCTTTCCTTTGAGGGAGGAGTAGTAACTTCCAAGGGTTTTAGGGAAGTCTCTCTATTGGCCTTAAACAAAAATCACTCAATTAGTCCTCAGTACAGCTTCCAAGTGCAGGAAATTGGTTCCTTATTTATTCAACTGGTTTCTGGGCCATCAAACCCAGCATGGGAAGCAAAGCAGGCCACCGCTGACACCCAGCTGTCACTCACTTCTTAATTTGCTCCCTCTGTGGGAACGGGCCTGCAACCTCTCTTTCACAGCTATTGGTTTTGGTGTTTGTTTCTTAAAGTTCTTTTCCCAGACACTTTGAAACTCTCCCTTCCATCCCTTGGCATGAAACATTCTTTCATCCTAGCCAGGACTGTATCTTAAACAGTTGTATAATTTTTTTATATTTTATACAATTATTAGGGCTTAAGTAAATGCTTGATGGCACCAATTGATGTGTTAACATCAAAGTGCCCGTTGCATAAGAGTTCCTCTATTCTAATACTAAACTTGATATCCTAAACAAAATTGAAAATCATTATTTTAAGCATCTAACAGTTACTAAACTATTCTTTTACAAGTAGACTATAATTTCAGTTTTAGTGTGAGCTGATCTGTCAGTTTATGTAACTTAAAAGCAAGAAAATAATTTTGCAGATAAATGAGAAAACGTTTTCTCATCATAAAACCCCAACACTGGACTGTAAGTGATCTCTGTACTGCTGTGTCTCTGTTCTGTCAGAGAGGGAGAGGAATGTTTTGGTTTTGTTTGTTTTACCTCCTGGAGTCCTGAGTGGAGCCCAAGAAAGTCTTTTCTCTTAATAAACCCTGTTCTCCATTCTATCATAAGGAGGTATCGCCCTCACCCTCCAAATCAAGACTAGGTACAGTGTTTACTAGAACTACTGAACCAAAGTACAACAAACGAGATAAGTGTGTTCATGCTCTTTCCTGAAGGCTGGAACCCTGGAGTCAAGGGCTTGGCCAGACTATGCGCCTTCCGGAGCTACTTTGCCAGCTGGTGCTAGCCCCAGGAATTACTTGCCTTATGGCAAAAGTGTCTACTTTCTGCCTCCATTTTTCCCATGACCCCTTCCTCCTGTGTCTGTTTTCCTGGCTCTCTTCTCCTCCCCATGTCTTTCTTGTTTCCCTTTGTGTCTGTCCTGCTGCTCCTGTGTATCTCCTCCTCCTCCTGTCTTTCCTTCTCTCTCTTCCTCTCTCTCTGTCTCTCTCTGCCACTCTCTCTCTCTGCCTCTCTCTCTCTCTGCCTCTCTCTCTCTCTGCCTCTCTCTCTCTCTGCCTCTCTCTCTCTCTCTCTGCCCCCCCGCCCCTCTCTCTCTCTGCCTCTCTCTCTTTCTGCCTCTCTCTCTCTCTCTCTCTCTCTCTCTCTGCCTCTCTCTCTCAGCTCCTCTCTCTCTCTCTGTCTCTCACTCTGGTATCTGTCTGCCCCCCCCTCTGCCTCTCTCTCCCTCTCCCCCCTCCCCCTCCCCCTCCCCCTCCCCCTTCCGCTCCCCCCCCTCTCCGGTCTTTGTTTCTACCTCTATATCTCTCTGTCTCTCTCTCCCTCTCCCTCCCCCTCCCCCTCCCCCTCCCCCTCCCTCTGTCTATGTGAGTGTGTGTGGGTCTGTACTCCTAAAGAGAGCAGTTATACTGGGCAATACAACCCAATGGTCTCCTTTTATCTTGACTGTACCTGCAAGCCCCTCGTCCTTCTGTGTTAGAAGAGATCAGGATTTCAAAGTTTTGAAAATTTTGCTAGTTAGTTCTGGCCAGCTGACACAAATTAGAGACACCTGGAACAAGGGACCTCAACTGAACTGCCTTCTCTATCAGATTAACCTGTGTGCATGCCTGCAGGGGCACTTTCTTAAGGACTGATGTGGGCGGGCTCACCCCTTGGCAGGTGTTCCTGGATTATCAAAGGCAAGCTGAGCCAAGAGAGTAGCATGCCACATTTCTCTTTGGTCTCTGCTTTAGCAGTTGGGGCCTCCAGGTTTCTGCGTTATCTTCCTGGGTGATGGACTGCAAGCTAGCTGTCTGAGGAAAACAGCACTTTCTTACCCAAATTGCCTCCTGGTCACGGTGTTCTCGCAGCAACAGAAAGCCAAGTTCTACCACGGGGTTTAGCTCGGGATGTCGATGTCTCTCTGAATAACTGTTCTGCAAATAACTCATTTTTCCACACACTACACAAAGCAGAAACTCTCTGTTGTTGTAAACTCTTTCCTTTTGTATGCCTGCCGTGAGTCAGGTGACCCTGAGATAAAAACACAGGAATGGAAAGGTCACAGGCCTGTAATAAAGAAGTCAGGATACCAGGGGAGCTGAAAACGCTGCTGGTATCATATTCCTGCATTGCTGGTTCTGGCTTGCCTTCGGCAGGCTTCCGACTTCTACTCTGGCTTGTCATTTAGCCACAGCGAATACGTTTTCTTGCAACTAACACACTTTTTCTCCCTTTGAGAACAGCTTCTAAAGAACGAACGTGAAAATGAACCTGTCTATACTTTGAAGACTGTGTTCGTGTTTAAGTATGCCCCGGGTGTAACTTCGTATGCAAACATTCTAAAGTCAGTTGTGCTTATTAACAGTTCAATATGGCATGTCCTGTGAGCTCCGAAGAAGCAGATGACCGCTTTTTAAAAATAGTTAGTATACATTTCAATTCTCCCTCACATACACACCCAGTACAGTTTTGACTGAATTTATTATGTAAAACCGTTGTTATGCTGATGTATGATCTTTCTATGCCTAATTTGTTCATGACTTTTATCATGAAGGAATGCTGGATTTTAACAAACCCTTCGTCTGTGTCTGTTGAGATTGGATTGTGTCCATTCAGTTGAGGTGCTGTACTGTGTCGAGCCGTTCTTGCCTCCCTAAAAATGAATCAACTTGGTCGTGTTGCGTTCCTTTTTGATGTTTTACTGAGTTTGATTTGGTAGTAATGTTGCTGGGAATTTTGGCATCTTTTATCAGGAATATTGGTCTACAGCGACAGTTCTCCGCCTGTGGGTTGCCACCCTTTTGGAACTCAAATCAGCCATTCCCGGGTTGCCTAAGACCATCGGAAAACCCAAATATTTTACATTAGCATTATGAAGTAGCGATGAAAATTTTATGGTTGGGGGTCACCACAACGTGAGGAACTGTAGTAAAAGGTTGGAGCATTAGGAAGGTTGAGAAACCCCTCCTCCACAGCTTCCTCATGTGATTTTCTGTGGTTTTAGTAAGAGGGTGGTGCTGGACTAATTTAATAGGTTTAAGGGAATCTCTCTCTTTCGGTTGTTGGAAATAGAGGAAAACTGGCCTTAACTGGAGGGATCTTCACTAAGAAACTTCGGGACATTTCTGTTTGAAAGGCCGTTACAGGAACCACAGAAACGGCCTAGTTACCTGGGGCACTACTAAGGACAGTGATGTCTAGTCCCGGAGTGGAACTCGGCATATGTCAAATTCCCGGATTCTGTTGTTCTTCAGTTCCTGTTTCTAAGTTTGCTTGAATTTCACTTACTGTGCATGGCTATCTTGCCTGCATGTGTACATGTGTACCACATGTGTGCCTGGTGCCCGAGGAGGCCAGAAGAGAGCATCAGATACCGTGGAACTGGGTTACAGACAGTAGTATCAACCACCATGTGGGTGCCAGGATTAAAGATCACCCAGTACTCTTAACCACTTAACCATCTCTCCATATCTCTCTGTGTGTTTATGTGTGCATGTGTGTGCATGCGCATATGCGTGAAAATACTGGTATGACATGTTAATAATTTTTGCATGTTAGCTCTCGGGTTTGCGAAATGAAAAAAATAGGTTAGAGTTGATGATGATAGGTTGAAAAATAATTTGAGACGCCTGAAGCCACCACCAGTATGGTGGCAGGCAGGGCAGACGTTAGGCACCAAGGAGGAGAATGTTACAATGAAATGATAGAAATTGAAGGCGAAGCAAGTCTAGTTGGTAAGGCCCAAGCTACATCTCCACAACTCATTTGTTAAACCATAGAATAGAGTTGGACCAGGAGAGCACTAGATAATTCAAATAGAAAGATTTTTATAGGCCAATGCCGAAGTCTTCCAGGACCATAAAAGAGACCTGTGGATAATGATGTTAAGTGTAGTATTTGGTATGAAATGAATTCCACATATCTGAAACACTCCCAGGGAAGGCCTGGTTGTGGTGGTCTGGAAGCTGCAGTGGGAAGTTGGAAGCCCAAGATACAGATAATGAGATAACACAATTCAGCCTAGCTCTTTAGCACAGAGATGTCAAGTAGTGGCTTCCCAATGTCATAGCCCAGAAACACTGGGAAGAATAGAAGAAAGCCACCAGTCTCTGTATTAGTACCAAGGTCTGAAAGCTATTTCTGCTATGAAAAAGGACAACTTGTGTTTACTTATTTCCTTTCTTTTCTGTGTGAACGTGACTTAGTTTTCTAACTCTGGCCCTTAGAGTCTTCATCCAAAATGTGCCCATCACACGGTATGGTTGGTGAGCGCCTGAAATACTAGCACTTGGAGAATATGGGAACCAAGAGCTAAAAGTCATCCTGGCCCCCTAGCATGTTCAAGACCAGCTTGAGCTACAGAGACCTTATCTCAGTGAAGTAAAATAAAATTAGATAAACGTAAAACACTACACCTATTCTACATGCTACAGTACGATTCACGAGCCGGATAAGGGGCTGGTGATTGAAACATACAAATGCAGAGAGAGAGAGGCATGGGTCATCTTTGAAACAAGAATATCCCCTTTGTTGTCAGTTTATCTAGTGCTCTGGCCACGCCCCGGCTCTCGGGATCTTTCATCTGCAGACCCACCAGAAACGACTCCCCTGCAATCTGCTCAGAGCAGAGGAAAACAAGTTGTTTACAGGAAATTCAGGGTCTGGGGGAAT